AATTTTGTTCTTACAAACTTAAATCATTAACATTTTATTTGAGATGTGTGTAATTGCCCCTTAGATAAGTCTTCTTAATAGAAAATGACTTCTGGGTGTCTTTCAATAACACAATTTAGTGTTTAATTCATTCAATTAATAACTGTGTTTGATAAGGCAATTTTTAAAAAAAAAAATATCACTTAAAATAAACATCATTTATAACTAAATACTAAACATTAAAAATTCAAAAATATATATGTATCAAAAAATATTTATTTATTATTTTTTAATTATCACCTAAAATTTAGCCCTTAAAATTTTTAATAACTTTTACCAAACAACACTTTACTTTGATATACACTTTCATTTTTTATGTTTTTATCTTTGTCTTCTTGTGAAATAAAGTACGGTGACTATGTGAAATAATATATATATATAAATTGTTTTATTTTTCTTGGTAAAAAGGGCAAATGTCAAAGCTTGAGAACTTTTATTATCCCGCATTGAATTATTTTTTTAGTAAGAAAAGTTGGGGGAAAAAATGGGACCCAAAAGTTGGATGAGATCTTTAAGCAAATTTAATAATGAAAAATAAATTAAAGCTGCATAACCTAAGAAGTGACCATATACCATGAATCTGAATGGCATAAAGACCCAAGGGCTTTTGGTCAAACCAAATGACCAAGGTACAGATACTGCCGGGACTATATCTATATATATATATATATCCTACGAGGCAACTAGTCAATCACGACTTCTGTCACGTGAGAAGAACTGCATCAAATTAATAAATAGGGATTAGGTTGTTTCTGTACCTCTCTATACAAAATAATTACTCTTGATTTCAAATTTATTCATCCATTCACAAACTAATTAATACACCCTAAAAGATTTTTCAGATTACTAAACCTTTTTTCCATTTCAATTTGCTATATTAAAATCTTTCTATCCGCTCATCATATTAGTACTATATATTACTATTATACAATAAATGAATAAGAAAATATTTTCAAAATAAAAAGTATATTAAACATACAATTTAAAAGTATACTATCTCTCCTACTTAATCAATGAATTAAAAAATTCATTGAAAAGCTTATTTGACTTTTTACAAGTCTCAATAAACTATCTTAATTCAGTAACTAAATAAGCAAAATTCATAAATCTTATCATAACATTATTCTCATAATAATATTTTTTTTGTGATACTGGTAGGATACAGGTACGACTCTTTTGTAAAAGTGTCTGTTATTCTTAATTGACGAAAAATGAAAGATTGATAAAAAATAAAAGGAAAAATGCAACTCTCCACGCACACGCATAGCTAGTAAGAGAATTTTTTTAAAAATCTATTCCCTTTAGTAAAGGAGGTGAGGAATTCCAGTCCTATAGAGCATGTGTAGAAATGTGCCAGTATTTACCTTTTACGCACGTCAGTTATATTGGGGCTCCAAAGATCTAGCAAATTACAAAAACAGTCCCAATTTCTTACCTACATTTTTTAATACCATAATAACCCTTCTTTACCAAGTTTGGGCTGGTGTCTGAATTATACTTGATACTTGTAACCTTTGCCATTCAAGAAAGAGGAGGAAAAAAAAAAAAAAAATGGTGTACTATAAGGTGTTGGTTCACTGAATGGTAAATTACCTATCTTCATTGAGAGGTTAAAGTTTGTCCCTATTTCCTGTTTTTTTCTATTGGACAAAAAAAATCCCATTAAACTCTGCCAACCCATAAAAAATATCGGTATTAATATAATTTATAAAAAAATGCTAACCAGTCCTCTCTTCATCTCCTGTCCTTCTCTCTATCACATGTGATATCTCTCCTACCTCGAGATCGATGAGTAGTTGCTGATCCAAGGAACAGTAGTGGTGGTTGTGGTGTCCGCGTATAAAAGTTTGATGTAAAAAAATTTAGAATAGAATAAATAAGTTTTACTTGCCCCTTTATTTGACTTTTATTTATTTTAATCTTACAGAAATGAAACTAATATAAACCCCACAAATCAAAAATAAAGTGTAAATAATTAAAATAAATAAAATTTGAGAGATGATGACATCGGGATTTTTATGCGTGAAAATTTTTGTTGGAAGAACTCCGATCAACCGAGATGAAAACCATAGACTTTTGTAGCCTTAATTGAAGCAATCTACTAATCTTCCAAATAAAGTATAATGAACTCTGACTCAAACTCACACCCACTCTACTCTACCAAAAACTAATTGTTGAATATCTCGTGCTGAGTCTCGCAACTTCCCGTCCGATTGTTACAAACTTCAGGCTTATTCCTCAATCCTTGTAGAAGGGTTGTTGATAGATCACGAACACTCCGCGAATGCTCAGACCCCTTAATTTTGTAGTGTGGTCGATTCCTCCTTCTTTCAAATTCTGAATTTTATAAAGGTAAAATAAAAATCTTACTTTTCTGAACATAATTTTTTGAATCTTAAATATGTGAATTCCGATTAGATAGATAACACCACCTTAAGATCACTCAAGTGTAATAGTGTGTGTGTTCAAGTATATAAAAATATACAAAACAATCAAAAAAATATTCTAAAAAGGCTCTCAATTTGTAATAGCAAAATTATTTTTCTCTTCAAAACCTTAATTAATTAAGAGAGAGAGAGTTTATATAAGAGTCCTCAAAATATATCGAAAGTCGTTTTAAAATCGTGCAAAAACTTCTCTAAGAGTTTGGGTAAAAATAGGAAAATAAAAAGTTATCAAAATATTATTGGTTAGATTTTAAAATACAGCCGGTTGAACTTTTATCGAGACATGTTTTTGCGTAGAAAATTCAACCGGTTGGAAGCCGTTCGTATACTGGAAGTGCAATTGGTTGGATTTTGCTGAAGCTATTCACATGCTCTTCTATCCATCATTAAGTTAGTGATCCAAGGAAAATTCAATACTGAAGTGGAGATGAAATTAGTGTGTATATATATATATAATGACAGAAATAGACTTCACTTGAATATGCTGAACTAAAAATGTGAGGACAAAGTTTAACCTCCCCATGAAGATTAGGAAGTCAGCTTTTCCAATATATATATATATATATATATATATATTCCTGAATGGAAAATTGAGTTGGTGAGGTGTCTCTATCAAACTAGTGCAGTCCTTAATTGTGGGAGAGAGGGAGTTTCTTCAAGAAGTCACAAATTTTATCCTACTTGAGGAGAGACTTCGAATGGTGTCAAAAGGTCACCAAAGAGGGTGGCTGAATCTGGACCATTAACTTCCCTGTCAAACACAAGTGGGCTATCTACCTACGATGTACACCCCTCTATCTGTACCTTCAGTCCATTCCAGTTACATCTCTATAAGGTATAAACTAAATATTGAAATTCACACATCAATTTAATTACACTGTTGTTATTTGTTATATATATACACATATATATATACACACACACCGGAGCTTAAGATTGGCTGGGCAGCTCAATTTCTTCTAAACCCATGGAGCCTAGCTAGGGTTCCCCTTTACCAAGGCATTCACTTGCATAATACTGGGAACAGTGGGTTAAAAAAAGTAAAATCGTATTATTATTATTATACAAAAAATAATTGTTCTGTGATGTTCTCTCACAAACTTTTAACGGTATAATACTGATTAATGAAATAAAAAAAAAACACTTCACCGACACCTCATTTTTTAAAGTGAATGATGAAAGTTTGAGTCCCCAAAAAATAAAAATTTGTGTTTTTTACCAATAATAATAATATTAAATAAATAAACCAATCAATCCTTGTATTGACTATCAATCCAGGTAAAAAAAAAGTGTTTGCTTTTGTAAAACAAACCCTATGTAATTCTTTGAAAAATAGTTTTCTATCAAAATACTTTATCGGTTAGATTTTTATCCTTTGTATGCCCATAAAGGGAACTGAATTAACATAACCACATGTTCACGTATCATTCAATCTTTTTTGTATTAAATAAAAATAATAAATAATAAATCTTAACATATTATGTTACAAAGGCGTTATGTTGTAGCTGTATCTCATCAATTTTTTAAAATAAATGATAAGGGTTTGAGTCTCAGAAATTTAAAAGTATGTGTATTTTTTGTCAATAATAATAATAAATAAATAAACCAATTGATCCTTGACAATTATCATATAATTTGGGTGAATTGCATAAAACCTTATCAACCTTTTTTCTTTTTCTTTTTTTTTGATAATTCAAAAAACACTCTCTTAGTATTATCCTCACCCAAATCAAGAAAGATTGTATGCAATTTGACTGATTATATATAATATAATACATAGTATAAATAATATAATAAGTCAAAAAGTAACTCTTCCTATTAGTATGCTCTTTTTTCTTTTTCTTTTTTTATAAAAATACTTAAAATCAAAGTTTACAACAGAATGCTACGAGTCAATGCAATTTGTCTTAATAATTATTTTTAACTAACTCAAATTTAAAGGATCCGTCTACGAGTCAATGCAATTTGTCTTAATAATTAATTTTAACTAACTCAAATTTAAAGGATCCGTTTGATTAGTAAAAAATTGATGGTTGAAAAAAAAAAAAAAAAAAGGTGAAGTGAAGAAATTCGCCAATGTGTGTACACGGAGAATCTACGCAGCACAAGACCAAGATCCGGATTCTAAATCGAAAGACTAATCTCGGATCTAAAACAACTAAACTTTCAACTTGTCATCCTCATTTGCCGCTTACAACATTTTCCTTGCCCCGATTGACACGACAAAGACACACAAATCCAAAGGTGACACGTGGACAAATCGACAAATTAAATATGCTTACAAGTCAAAGATGACATCATCAGTTGACGTCATCCAGTCACCCCCATAATTTGGACCCTCGCCGCCTCGGGTCATTTGACCACACGTGCCTGAAAACGGACAACCCATCCACACTAGACTCGACCCACTTGATCAATTATCAACATAATAATACCAAAACATCCAATCTGCCCAAAAAATGTTCACCTCTCAACCTCTAATAAATTTAGTGATACCTTATATTAATCAAAATACGCACGCACATAATACAAAATCTTCCCTCGTATTTGTGTATATATAGGGTGGGTGTCTAAAACTTGTCCAAGGGAACACATTTCATATTTTGGTCACTAGGACCAACCAAAGCCAGAGAAACAAAGGAAACCATTCAGTCCAAACATGGACTATTCTTCCATCCCATACCCAAATTCCGAGCACTCGCCGGAATCCTCATTCGGATCGCCGGCCCAATCTCTCTCGTGGGACGAGCTTCTCTTCCACCACAATTCCCTCCCATTCAATTTCAATGACTCCGAGGAAATGCTTCTTTTCGATGTCCTGGCCGAGGGAGCAAGGGAAAGGGACTCGTCCGAGGCCAATTCCAATTCTTCCGGTGGAATTAAGGAAGAGGAAGTGACTTCCAACCCGGCGGAAAGGGAATTCAAGAAGGAAAAGTCGTACAGAGGGGTACGCAGGCGGCCTTGGGGGAAGTTTGCGGCGGAGATAAGGGATTCCACTAGGAATGGAATCCGGGTTTGGCTGGGAACGTTTGATAGCGCTGAGGCGGCCGCCTTGGCCTATGACCAAGCCGCCTTTTCGATGAGGGGAGCCAATGCCGTCCTCAATTTTCCGGTGGAGATGGTCAGGGAGTCCCTTAGAGACATGAAGTACGGTTGTGATGAAGATGGTTGCTCCCCTGTGGTGGCGCTAAAGAAGAGACACTCCATGAGAAAGAAATCAATGAGCAGAAAACACACAGTCAAAGAGGTGAAGGTAGAGAATGTGGTGGTGTTAGAGGACTTGGGTGCTGAATATTTAGAGGAGCTACTTAATTCTTCGGTGTGTGCTACTTCTTGGTGAATAAACACCACACCACCTCGATCTTCAAAATATTCCCTTTTTTTTTTTATGTATCAATCCTTAATTAGTTTCTTTGTTAATTACTTTTTCTTTTTTGCCTTTTTTTCCATTTTGATTTATCTTTGAGAAGCAAAGATTTCAAGTGGAGTTGATCCAATTCAAAGTTGGTTCTCCTTGATTTTTTATTATTATTATTTTTTCTTTTTCTTGTAAAGTGATCTGTAACATATTGGCTATTTCAAATTCTCAACTATTGGAGATTGAATTATTTTGCTCTGGTGACATATTTCTTTGTAAATTTAAATATAAGGAGTAGCACTTATTAAAAAAAAAAAAGTTGTTCATGATTAGAAATGGTTTAGTGGCTTCGTGATTCTTGGTTGTCACATCAGTTGCGATCGGCGCAATAAAATTGGGCAAAAATCGATGTAAATTGGCCGAATCAATTGATTTTTATGTAAATATATAATAGTATCGTATAGGGTGGTAAATTACGACACGACACAATATAAGTGAATTTGGATTGACCTTAAATAGGGTAACACGAATAACCTATTTATTTAACTGTGTCAGGTTAGAATTGAGAAGGTTTAACACGTGTAACCCGTTCATACACATTTAATTCAACATATCATAATCATGAATATGACATATGTAATATGTTACCTTGTTTAAACTCAATTACTATGGAGAGTTAAGTCGTTTTAACATAAATCTCAGCTACGCTGATTTTTTTTCTAATTTTGAATATTTTGATTAATTGTGATAAAAAAATTTTAATATTTATTATTTGATTGAATATTAAATGTCTCGTTTTGATAGACAAGTCATTAAACAAATTAATATATTAACTCGTTTAATAAACAAGTCGGATTAATGTTAAAAGTTCTTGACATGATTATTAAATAAATTAAATTTTATTTTATTTATTAAAATATTTTTAAATTGATACAATACTAATATAATTTACGAATACAAATTGTTGCCCCAACTACGGTATCCTTGAAATAGGGTTACGAACCTAACTATGCATACAACAAACCAGGGGGGCTTTGATATTGATGGAGCTGTCATTGTCTGACTAAAAGTCTAAAACGTATCGCGCAGGGGTAGCAAAAGAAACATGAAAACCAAGTACAAATGAATGATAAGATTCGTCAAACAAGTTGCATATCTCCATTAGTGAAAGTGGCACCAACTCACGAGCTATAGTCACTCGAAAACAAGGACCATCATTGTCCGAGTCGCTAGTCTTGCATAGTCCGCAAAAGTGGACGACTCAAACAAAACCTACAAGGACCAGGACCATTATTGTGGACGACTCGAGAACATGGCCGTTATTGTCCTTACCCGTCTTGCATAGAATAGTCAGAGAGGAGGACTCCAAACAAATCTTACATTTAACGTTATTTTACACAAAAACTTCAAACTTATACCCTCGTGCTTAATATTACCAGCATTTACCATTAATGCTACGATGACCCCATAATCCGTGAAAAGTTTTTGTTCTTTCATAATCTAATTTATAAGCAAAAATCTACAAGGCAGTTCTTAATTTTTTTAAATTCGGTAGCGTAATGCTGATTTTATTTTATAATTAATCTAGACAAAGTTCATGATCAAGCTAAAACTGAACTAGGATCATTTAAACAAGAGTGATTATAGAGAGTCCGACAGTACATTCTGACTAATTTTATGTAAGTAAGGACTGATGTTATCATGATATCATGCATATTAATGACGTCGTGATGATGTCAACCCTCACTCTCGTAGATCAGTTAAATTTGTCAAACTTTCGGACTCCAAATCATTATCATTTAAACAATCATGATACATATATATATATATATATATATATATATCAAAATTATAGGAATTTTCATGATAGTGAATTCCTTGTATTGCCTATATATGGAGCCCAATGTCAAACAGAATTAGACATAATAGAACTCAAGCCAAGGTTGGGGCGGATCAGGTTTGGTTTTTAATCGAGGCCCAACCCATTGATGGGCTTTGTACCAGTCTAAGCCCATTTCAGAGTCCAGAGGCTAAATCCAAACTTTTTAGGAACCCAACTTTCTTACATAATTAAAATCTAATAATACTCTGTGTGTGTGTGTGTGTGTGTGAGAGAGAGAGAATTTTAGAGTGGTTCGGTATTTTTAGAAGAATTTCTGTTTTTAACGAACTTAAAATAAATAAATAAAATACAAAAACATTTTTGATTCACAGTTTTCTAGAAACTCAATTGAGAAAAGGTTTGTTTTCACATTTTAGATAACATAGTTCTCATAAAATAGTTATCTATATATATATATATATAATTTATGTCTTAAAATTATTTTCAGAAAATTAAATCAAAAAGGTAGCCCAGTTAAAAAGGTTGCTTGTCGACATGTTGTGAACAGAATGCATAGGCATGGGCCTAGATGAAAAAGACCACAGACGTCCTGCGACACTGGGCTGGGTTGGGCTTTCATTTCAATCTGTTGGGCTGACCAATTTAACAACGCCACACCTTCTCACCATACAGAGGCCTATTAAATGTTAGACTAACAGGCCTCTGGAGTCTGGATACTACCTAGGAAGCACATATGCCTCTTTTAAGGTGCCGTAGATCCTCAGACTCTTCGCGAATATGTAGATACGGTTCAGACACGTGTTGAATATGATTAGAAGTATTTCATTTTTTGGTCCTGGACATGACAATGATACATTTTGGACACTTCACAATGAAGCAGAGTAATTTTGTAATTTTTTATACAAAAATGAAATTCAATGCAATTTAAAATATATTATGGGTTAATTAAAAAAATAATATAAAATTTAAAAATAAACAAATATCTTACTCTAAATTCTAAATTAGTGATTTATCTATGATTATATGGAGAAAATGGCAAAAAATACATTATATATTTAAATAAATGTCTATTATATTATATTTTTGACGTATCTATATTAGTATATTGTATTCGTATTTTATTTTTTAAAAATTTACCATATCACTGTGTCGTACTCGTACTCGTACTCGTATTCATATTTGTACTTCATTAAATACTACCCAATCAACTTTTTAGCATTCACCCAACCCAACATCATAACATTCATTTTCACCCGCACATAAATAAAACTGTGCAGCATAGTCAAGTTAGCTGAAATGGGAAAATGCACATTAGCTTCAACAGTGACTCCTTAAAGGATTCCCATTGGCCTCTAGTCACGTGGAGGGGGAAAAATCTATCTATATAATCAAACTTTCCCATTTGAAAGAAAACATCTGAATCATTTTCTTCATTCTATAAACATGAATGCATAAATAAATAAATAAATAAATAAAAACAATCTTACTTAGTTGGTACATCATCGTGACATGAATATAACATAAAACGTGCTACTTAGGCCCAATTCTTTAACTCTTCAGCCTAAGTGTTTAGATTGAAGAATGCTCTCGGTCCAACACTTGAGTTGAAGCGTTAACACGTGTACATAAGAAAAATTAAGAATAAAAGAGAAAAATTAAGAATGACTAATTACCATAAAGACAAATCGAATCCACAAATTCAAACAACATTTCCACATATATGCTGCAATGTTAAGCATGCATACAGAAAAATCCATAAAAATCATCAAAGTTCACAAAAATATCTGTGCGTAGTTGACAAATAATATGTGGTATGGTTATGATGATTATCAACAAAAATATCTTTCATTTTTGTATTGAGAGACACTGTGCTTGAGGACCCAAAGAAACAGCAAGTGACTTTAATGGAAAATCACATCCAATAATGGGGTGACACATATATCCAACATTGCCACCATCTCAAATTCAAATTCAAGCCTATCTCAATATATATATATATGGTTGATTGTCATTTGTCAATCAACCATCTCAATATATATATATATCATTTATCTCAAGTCTTAAGACCGGGTGACTGACAATGACTACAATTAAGTTGGCTTTCCTGTGAAAAATCATGTGTTGCACATGGGCCTTTATCATTATCTGAATCTGTGCGCCACATTTCTGACCTAAAAATAGGGCCATCCTCATCTCTATTGTGGTCTCCTTCAGTCAGATCCTATGCAACTGAGGTGTGTTCAGCCAATTAAAATCTCTTTTCAATGCCTTAGATTTACCTATTTTTATTCAGATTTGTTCTTAATACATTAAAACATATTTAAAGAAAATAATAAAATTGTCGAAATTCGACTATTCCGTATCTGATCATATAGTAGTGGATCCTGTTGAGAAATAATATATAAATAATAAGGGGTGCTAATTACAGTCGCGTCCATGACTATGAAATCTTAGTCGTTACTTTAGTTATTGACATGTGTATTTTCTTTCCCAATAATTAACTACTAGTTATCTGCTAACGTCATTTTGGGTCTCTCATTATGTATAATTACTATACTAGCCTCTTACCCTTAGAAAGAAAGGGAGAAACCATTCGCGAAAATTCTCTTTTCAGAAACTTCTACGGTTCCATCTTACTTTAAAATTTTCTTTTTTATAAAAGTCCATATCTAAATGTTTGAAATTCAACTCTAAAATTTTCTTTTTTTACAAAAGTCCATATCTAAATGTTTGAAATTCAAATCTGAATTTTTTCAGATCCATATTCTTTGTATTCGAAGTATTGCTCTGATTTTTCAAATTAAAAAAAATAAATAAAAAAAATCAGGTGAAAAAAGTACTATAATCTCGTTCTCTCTCTCAAATTTTCTTTATTCGAAGTTCAATGTTTGAAATTCAAATCTAATTTTTTCAGATCCCTATTCTCTATTTAGAAGTATTCCATTGTTTTTCAAATAAAAATAAAATTAACAAAACAGATGAAAAAAAATATAATCCGGTTTTCTTGTATCAATCATTTTCTCTCTAAAAAAACTAGCTTTCAGCTTCGATTTTCTTCAGATCTGATTTTTTCAGATTCATAGTCTCTGTATTCGAAGTATAGCTCTGGTTTTTCAGATCCAAAAGAAATCAGATGAAAATTGATGCGACCCGAGCGTGTGCACAAAATAATGCACAACACTTTGGTTTTGGAAATGGTATCAAGCGGGCATCATAGTTTACATTTGTAAACCGCTAGACACTTATACTATGTAGTATGAAGTGAGAAGGGATCGAACCCAAGGGATTGAACACGTGTTGGGACTAAACTTGATTTTAATGATAATTAGATTGTAAAAGAGAGAAGAGAGAGAGAGAGAGAAAGAGTGTGAGAGAAAAATATTTTGGTGGAGTGATTAAACTAAAAT